TTCACTGACTATATATATATCTCCTGATATATAATATATATATATATATATATATATATATTCAGAGGGCTTTCGCATTCCTTTCGTTTTCTCTACACTGCGCGTATTTTGCAGTACTCGCGTGCCTTTTCTCTACAGCTAGCAGCTTGCGAACCATCCATGTCGACGAAGAGAATGGTGGCAGTGGCAGTGGCGCCACCTGTGGCACGAAATCGTCACTATTGACGCCCCCCTTTTTGGATTGTTAAAGAAGCTGTGGGCGAGAGACATGGCAGGGTAACTGATCGCTTGATGGTGACACCTCCTCAGCATACGTTACTTTGCTTGTCGGGTATAAACTGGACGTGCGTTGACCATGTCGCTGTCGCTGCTGCTGCTGCTGCTGCTGCTGCTGCTGATGATGATGATGATGATGATGATGATGATGCTGATGCGAGAGATTGCCATACGTGCATTCAGTTCTCTCCTGCACCAAACTAGACGTTGTACACGGGGTCGGACCTTTCGGGATAGGATCATGGCTGTTAATTATATGTTGGATATATAGATGTTTATTTATATATTATGTACCGAACAAGAAGAGAATTCTGCAGTTAATATTTCGATTCTGGCCAGGGCAAATGAGCGGTGAACGATGTGAGCGATCAGTGTTAGCATGAACATATATATTATATATACTGTCTAGTGTCTAGTCATATACTGACAGTATATATATTTATATACGTATCAAGAGCATATTAAGTATGTACGCTTACTTACGCTACACTTAATACACTCTTGATATGTTCAGTGTGTTAGTGATACTTGTAAATATTTTTGGTTATAACGTGCCGGGACTAGTATATAAAGGCACCAATCGATATACTGTAGGCAGTCAGCCTGATCATGATGATTGAACATTTTCTCAAGGCGGGAATACGCTTCATCAAACTGAATATTGTAGACTTGCATGTATAAGATGGGCGTTGCATGGCGAGTGCACTGTTGAACATCTATTGACGCTATCTTCTCATTTAGTGCGTATTTTCACAGCGACAGATGATAAATCCGTTAGTTTGCGACGGAAATGCTATTCTTGCATGTCCGTGTGAGTGGATGCGCGCGTGTGGTGGTGCTGCTGCTGATGCTAATGCTCCGCCCACGCAAAGCGTTTGTAACGTTAGCTTTTGCGCGTATTGGTATAGGGAGACAGGGAGCATGCTATATATGATATGGGGAAATCCCCTGGTGTTGCGTTAGCGGGTGTGTAGGAGTTGTGGAGGTGGAATGGCACGTCGGCAGCCGTGTTTGGTAATGGCAATGCTGCTGTTCTAACGGTGTAGCAGGGAGACTGCATGATCAGTGCACTTTCGCCATTTCTGCAGCCGTTCCTTTACATCGGCTCCTCCATGTTTTTCATTGTTTCGAGAGCCGTCCGGGGCGCCATCTGGCGGCACAATCGTTACCTCAACGCTGCGACTCTTTTGCCGTGTGCTATTTACTGTCGCAAGATGTCGCGTAGATGCTGCGGGTCGTGGAGGGTCTGACGATGTTTACTTTGCTACGAACTACGCGTATATTTTTGGTTGATCAGTGCCAGTCGGAGAAGTCTGTGTTGCTAACAGCTTACCGAACTGTTCGATGTGATATTACCAGTACATGAAGAAGAGATCTCGATCTCTATCTATATCTTATATCTTCATATCGTGTACTCCTGGTATTACTGGGCTCGCGTTTCATTGTGCAAGCTACTGACCGAACGTTTCTGCGTGCTCGTTGGTATTGATCGAGTTTTTTTTGCTCAAGTGGACATTGGTCGGCTTGCTGAGCTGATGACGTCATTAATACGGACGGTGTTAACATCTTGTTGTGGGTGCTTTTCGAGATTGAACTTTTGTACGTGCTTGTGAGTGCCTGATCGTTACGCTTGGTAATATTTTATCGTATATGTTTCGTGCCGGTTTTTCGAAGCAGTCATAGATGTGCATTAATTACGCATTCGCTGTAACGATGGAAGTTTGCACCTGTTTTTGTATCAGCTCGGAAAGGCTTGCTTTTTGTTAAGCGTGTTTTCGGGTGTGCACCGGAGGAGCGGGTTTCAGTGAGCGCCGGTGCTTACCACGACCCGTGTTAAAAGTCACCATGCACGACCCACGTCGAAGGTCACCACGACCTGTGTCGAAGGTCATCACGACCCACGTCATGGGTCAGCACGACCCATGTCGAAGATCACGATTACCAGTGTCGAAGGTCGCTGCAACTTCCGGTCGAAGCTCAACACCGAATTCGATAGCTATTTGCGTGGTTTTTGCCGCAGTAGGAATGTATTTTTGTATGTCGCGAATGTCTGCTGCTCAAAACGCCACATCTGCCTCGCGAACTGCTCCCCCCTTTCCAAGTCGTAATGTTGCAACACCGCCGACGACGACGGCCGACTCGCAATGAATCTGTTGTCATGACACCGGCGAAACCAATTTCGAGTGGTGCCAGAGTTGAGAGCGAATCGCTGAATAGAAAAATCGCTAATTGTGAACTCAAAGACCGCAGCTGAGTGTGCGGGTAGTCGTAGCTCCGGATGTGCGTCACTGGCAGTCGTGGGCGGATGATAGCGATGCGGAGAGGTGTCTTGTTATATTTCTACGTGCGTTTATTATAGGTGAGGGCCGCGCGAGTTTCGTTTGTCTGTAGAAACGTCTAAGTCATAATTAACGTGTCACGCGTCTCGCACTTTTAGCTGATTAATCACGCGACGTTACGAATCAATGTTTAATCGATGTTGAACCCTAATATAATATCGGCTATTGCTATTTGGTCGGACTAAACTTTCGCTTGTGTGATTGTAACGAGACAATTGGATAAATTGTTAAGGAATTGATCATTAAGCAGCGAAGCAATGAATGTCAACTGGTGTAGTTACTGCATTCTTCGCACATGCTTTATGCACGTGGTTTCCTCTTGTCTGTCTATACACTTATGGTATAGTTTCTTTGTTGATTTAACGTAAGCATAATTATGGATTTTTGACTGTCCAAATGCGAAGAGACATGTCAGATGTAGAGTGCGCGCGTTAGTTAGAAGCAGAGTTATCAGGGTATTGGATGCACGAATTATTCCACTGTGATGTCATGGGCATGTTTTGTGCGTGCGATTGTTCTGCCGATTCCGATGCTATTTGTGTCAAGAGTCGAGTATCAATAGATCTATTGTGTTCTCTTGATGTGTATGAATGGTGCGAGCCACCCTGTTGTCGACTAACACTGGACCGCATGAGCACGAGAATTGTGTAGAACTCCGTCGTTTTATGCTCATTGTTCAAGATTATTGTTTACAAACTCGAATCTTCAATAAATCATTTGCCTTTCAATTGAATTCGAATCTTGATTTTATCAAACGATTTCGATTGCACATGATCTTGATTGCCTAAGAGCTACCAGTATTGTTTGTGTTAGTTAATCGAGACAATCCTTATTGACATCATTAAAGAAGGCCATTACGTGGCACATAATGATTTTATTGTAAATAAGTGGTGAAACTGGAAACAATTTAATGTAATATACTCACATCATAATGCCTAGTTGCTAAATCCATGTTGAAAAGCAGACGACATTAAAGAAACAACGAAGAAATGAAGCTCAAAATTTCTCTCCTTAAAAATTGGCTCTTCGTATGAGATTACCATTAATTCTCCCACTAACTGACTAAAAGTCCATCTCAAAAACATGGTTCCCACAAAAGTGAATTGTTTTTTCAATGACATTTCAAGGACAATCTGTGACCAGCAGTTTTAGCTTTTTAGAGTCCTATATACCATATAGTCATATATACCTTAGATTCATATATAAAGTAAAAATGGTTGTTTTACACGAGTGCTGACAGCAGATTAAAGAGTCGCTATAGCTCGCCAATAACCGATGTACGCAATAGTCATTTCATATTGTCATTCACGTAGATTCATATGACTCTTGTGACAATATATGTAAAGCTTTGATGTAACATGTATCACTCACAACTATGTATCACACAATGTACTGTAACACTCAGAAATTTCATTATTTTAATTGCTCAACACTATTACATTTATCAGATTTTTTCTCCATGAAAAAGACTGTCTTCAGTACATGTATTTTTAGTTGAATTACATGCAATAAACCCCTGCAGTAGAGGAGGAACCAGCCCCTGCAGTAGAGGAGGAGCCAGCCCTTGTATTAGAGGAGGAACCATCATCTGCAGTAGAGGAGCCAATCAAAGAGGTTTTTTTATTCTATTTTTCTTTCTCTATTATTTGTTCAATATTCCCTAATTGTACCTTTTAGTTCGGTGTGCAGCAGAAAATGAACAATAACACTCGGTGTTTACACTATGGGCATTATGGTGGTCGCTGTGGGATTATAGCAGATAATGCAGTAATGGGATGAATTGTATTAAAAGGGGAACCAAAGTGTAATTGTGTAAGAGTTTGGTGCACATCTGTTAGCTGGGAGTAAGTGGAGGAGTAGGTGGCATTTCTTCAAGTTTTGTGCGATCTTCCTCAATTCGTGAAACGACTGACATGGTCAGCTCTGTTGTCGCAAAAACAGAAAGACAGCCGGAGATATTTTAGACTGACCCAATGTTCCCTTCCCTTCACTTGCTTTCGCAGGTGCATGTGCAGGAGCCTGCATGTGCACAGTGGAGCGAGAAGTTAAGGGCAGGGAGCAAGTCTAGGCTTGCATTTCATCTTAGTAATACATAATCGATTTTCTGTAGTGTTTATTTAAAAAATGATATAAATACATATGTAATACGCGTGCGTTCGTGCGTGCGTGCGTGCGTATGTAATGTTTTGAATATGTTCTAAGTGAAGCTTTGCATTCTTACAGCCTGTATTTGGTGATGACGGCGGTGACGTGGACCATGGTATGACCGACAGCCAGTCACGAGGGGGAGCCACGGTGGAGGTGAGCGGTATCACAGGTATGCTTGCTGCATGTGCTGCTGGGATTCGCATGCTGCTTTTTACTATCTCTCTAATTCTCGTAAGTTAAAAATCCGTTATGGTTCCGAGGCTGCAGAGAGTTGCGGCACTAGGTACTGTGTTCCTATACAGAAACTTTTAAAAACTCGCTTGAAGTCCTCAGTTGAATAGGTCAGGCTGTGAGTCATCTTCTTAAATGTACATCTTTTTAATTGTCTTGAAAGTTGGGTCTTGATCATTTTGATTAATTAAGTATCAAATTATCTTTTTTTAATTACGTTATGCTAAAGTAAAGTATTAAATCAAAAGCCAACAAGATGACTTTGTCAATTTGTTTTCCATTATCTTGAAAATCTTGATTTTTAATATACAAAGTAACCATTTTGATTATGTAATTATTAAGTAAGTATTATGTTATCTTTATTAAAACAAAGTTATTCTCTGATAAAGTATGGGAACAAAAGCAAAGCTGAACAATGGCAACAGCTGCCATCGTTACAATATAGGTATATTGTATTAATATTATACAGTTACTGCCTGATTGTAATGGAGTTTAACATTTAAGAACTTTTAACCAGCCTCGTTCTTAATCTGCAATTATCATCGCCACAGATAATAGCAATACAGAATGTCCTCAAACATAGATGGATTTTGTGTAATTATTCCATTTTTACAAACCGTTGCCCAGCTAAATATTGGTGGGGACATCTGCCTGCGAGATATCACCTAGGCAGTGTTTTATAACTCCCTGTGCGTTTTTCCTATCTTCACGGTTTACCAGGTCTGATATACTGTCCTCGTCCACTGCTTCAAGCCATCTTGTGCCATGCTGTGCAGTACACTATATAACAGCAGTCATATACTAAATACCGTACTGTTCTCAGCAATAGTAAACCCGCAACTAATGTATAACATCAGAATAATCAATCGTATCCGTTTCATTTGAACGTCTTGAACAGCGCGTATTATGACGGAACTTACGGCATCGTCAAGTAACAAAGTTATCGTTGCAGCGGCGGATCGGGTAATGTAGGGTGATCGCTCTAGCTGGCAGTGCAGTGGCTAACATGACCGCGTCTGCTTGCTTCACTTTGCTCGTTATCTGTGCATGCCAGTGCTCAGTAATTCCGCAGGGACAGTGAAAGTACGGTGGCTGTGCGAACGCCGGTAACTAACAATTCAGCAAGAATGTGTGCACCTTCCCCACTGCTACCATTCTGAACTAATATGCAAGCAGAGTGTCTCTCTTCCTTGTTTATTCTTCACCTCACTAACTACTAGTAAGGATGCATTCAGTGTCTTCGCCGAAGACAGCGGCCATACTGAATCTAAACATTTTGCATCTGCGCACACCTGACAAACACGGACATGGTAATGGATGTTATTTATCGTGAGCATTGTGGCCAGCCTTCGCGGCGAGGCTGAGCTCTTGCTGATGCTCACACAGGCAGACACCGGCGCTGCAGAGTTCCCACGCGCTTTGCGCATGTAGAGTTACTAACACCGCGGTGTGTTCAGGGAGTTTTACTGGTGATAAGCATGGCAACGACACGAGGCTGCATGCACGCCTGCCTGCTGGGATACACGGTGGATTGGTGGATTGGTGGATTGGTTTTTTCAATGTGGATTGAATCAGGTTAAATAAATTTCATTTTTGTGATTGGACAGTGTACGATAACGTTTATATGCCATGGAAGAAATCGCGTTTGCTATCATGTGAATATCTGATGAAGTCGAAACGTTTGAAAACGGATCGTATTTATTTATCGTCATCGAATTTTCGCCGCCTCGTTCCAGCGCTCGCCGCGAAACGCATTCTAATGCAAGCGATCGTTTTTTTGTTTCAGCCTGAGCCTTATTGGCCAGATGAGGAGGGCGTTGGTCTTTCGCACCCGAGTTACGAGCTTCATGGTGACGATGGCATCCATGAGCTGCCTACTGCTACTGCTGCTGCTGCTGCTGCTATCCACGACGACCACTCCAATGGACATACGGATTCTGCATCTCATGTTCTCGCTGCTGGTGATTGCGGTGTAGTAGGGTCAGTGGACAGTGCAGGCATGGCGGCTACAGACCCTGTTCCCACTCTTGACCACGTACTAGAATTTCCTGCTCCTACAGAAACCCGTGATCACTCACATGATGCTGTTTGCCCCACGAATATGTTAGAACAGCATCACCCACCTGAAGCCTTTGTTCCTGCCAATACTCTCGATCACACAGAAGAAAACCTGGTTCCTGCGGAAACTGCAGGCTATTCACTGGAAGAATTTGTTCCCACAGAAACCCCAGGTCTGTCACACGGTTACGACGCTCCCATAGGTATGCCTATCTTTGCACCTGACGACATGGATTCCACACAAGGTCCCGAGCAAGACCTTGTTCCTACAGAAGTAGCTGACGTATTGCCTGAACACTCTGTTCCTGCAGAAATCTCTAACCCTCTGTGTGAAACCCCTGATGAGGATGATATGTTTGATCGCTCAGCTGAAGACTCCACTCACACTCAGTCGCCCGACAAATCACCGGAAGACTTTGCTCCTGCAGGAATGCACGACTTATGCCAAGAATATCGTTCTCCAGAGGATTCAGCTGGACTATCGGCTGAAGATCCACTCTCTGCAGGAAGTCACGATCAGTCGCCTGTCGCTCCTGTTCTCACTGGGTCTCTCGAACTATCACCTGCAGATCCTTTTCCCACTGGGTCTCTCGAACTATCACCTGCAGATCCTTTTCCCACTGGGTCTCTCGAACTATCACCTGCAGATCCTTTTCCCACTGAGTCTCTTGAACTATCACCTGCAGATCCTTTTCCCAATGAGTCGCCACTGGGTTCTCTCGAATCTATCACCTGTCAGATCCCTTTCCCTGGGACTACTCGAACTATCACCTGCAGTATGCTTTTCCCACGTCTCCCGAACTATGCACCTGCAATCCTTTTCCCCAACGTCTTCGAACTATGCACCTCAGATCCTTTTCCGCACTGGATCTCTGCGAGCTATCACGCTGCAGCTCGCTTTTGCGCCACGAGTCTCCGAACTAATCACCTGCAGATCCTTTTCCCACTGGTCTCCTCTCGAACTATCACTGGCAATGCTTTCCCACTGAGTCTCTCGAACTAATCGGCCTGCAATCATTTCCCACTGCAAGTCTCTCGAACTATCACCTGCAATCCTTTCCACTGGTCTCATCTGAAATATCACCTGCAGCTACCTTTTCCATGGTCTCTCGAACTATCACCCTGCAGATCCTTTTCCCGCACTGGTTCTCTCGAACTATGCACTGCAGATCCTTTTCCCAATGAGTCTCTCGAACTATCGCCTGCAGATCATTTTGCTACAGAACGCCTGAGCCGTCATCTATCGTCCGCTACCCACTAGACGCCTGACCAGTGCCCACCAAACTATTTCCCACGAGACATTGCCGGCTTGTCGGCCACGACCATCTTCCTACTGGATCTCCTGACGTGTCGCCTCTGGACTCTCATCCCGTGGCAATGCCCGAGCTTCCGTCAGAGCTGTCGCTGCATGCTGACCCTACTTCTATGCACGAACCAGGCGCTAGTCCCTGCTACTCACCAGACGAGGTCCTGCTCTCAGAACCGGGGCCGAACAGCAGCGAGGTTGAACCGGACGTGCACACTTATGGCAGCTGCCACCCAGGTGAGGAGACAGTGTGTGCTGATCATAGCCCAGGGCCGGACGCCGCGCATGAGCAGCATGACGGTGACGTACTGTTAGCTGTAGAGAAGGACAGAGGGTGGGGCAGTAGAGAGAGAGAGAAAGCGAGAGAGAGAGAGAGAGAGAGAGAGAGGAGAAGAGAGAGAGAGGGGGAGAGAGAGTGAGAGAGCCGAGAAGAGCGAGAGAGCGAGAGAGCGAGAGAGCGAGAGAGATAGAGAGAGAGCACAGCTAGTCTCTGTGCGCGTCCGTAACAGCTGGAATAGAGAAATCTAGGGGTAATTATATGTGTGTTGTATCGACGGGAGTGTCACTGAGCCCCACTTCAAGCGAATTATAAAGTCGCGGTTAGCTTGAATATGGCAGAGGGATATACGATTAGCTGTAGTGTGTTGACATTCGCAAATCAGAGAGTCGCTCCCATCCCGCGTCTGTTCAGTTAATTAGTGAGTTGAAACGTTTTGTTTCAAATGTTTTGCCTCAATAACTCTATGTTTGTATGACAGTTGCAATGCATCTTGCTATATAGTGAGAAAATTAATTCACGGAGAACCACAAACGCGCACGGATGCACTC